ATAAATACAAATTGACTGATACCCGCACCAAAGAATTGGAGATCCTTGTACTTTATGCTAGGCACTATATAGGAGATAAAGATGGACAAGACACAGTTCCTACCTTCAAGCAGTGTTCTATCTAGTGGGGCACAGTAGACATATTAATAACCTAAGGCATGATAACTTCCAAATGACTGGCCTGGACCATGAGCACATGCTGGGGTATCAGTCACAGAACCCCAGATTTAGATCTGGAAAGCAGTCCAACACTCTTATTTGACAGCTGAGAAAATGGAAGCCCAAAGAAGGAAGTGACATCCCAAGGTCACACAGCTATGAAAGGAGAAAAGTGGGGTTTCAACTCAAATCCTCTAAATTCAGTTCCAGCAACCTTCCTAATACCCCACAGTGCCATGCTTGGGTTCCAGACCAGGACTCTGTTGCTAACTCACTCTGTGACCTTGGATAATCAATTTCTCCTCTCTGGACCTCAGTTTCTCCTCTGTAAAATGTGAATGTTGGATTAGCTGACTCTAAGGTCCTTTCTAGTTCAAGGTCCGGTTCACCAAAATGGTTCCTTTTCATGTTGGTCTCTACTTCTCAGTCTGGCAATAGATAAAAAATGAATACTCTTCCCTCTTGTGGTGAATTGGAAAGGTGCAGGAAATAAGCTAATGGAAAAGTCTATAGAAGGTGTGTGGTGAAGAGTCTGGGGTTTGTCATGTCAAAGAACACAGGGTTCCTCCTGGATGATTACCACAGCTAACTGCAGGGTTGTAAGGGGTAGGAAGAAGGGGAGGGCTCAGGTATGGAGTTAATGCTGTTGGTTTCTATGGGACAAAATTTAAATGAAATATAACTATAGGTAACCAGTTTAACAGGAGGTCAGAAGAAGAGGTACAGGGACACTCTCAGGGTCTCTCTGAAGAACTTTGGAATCAATTGTGAGACATGGGAGACACCAGCACAGGACCTCCCAGAGTGGAGTGCCCACATCAAAGAAGGCATTGTGTGCTCTATGAGAGAAGTGGGATTGTAGTAGCTCAAAAGAGACACAAGATGCACAGATTTAGGGACACCTCTGCCCCAAATGTTCCTATGGACTATTTGTGCCTGACCTGTGGTGGACCCTTCCAAACTCATACTGGTCTGATTGGTCACAGACGGACACACTGTACCACATCGTGATGTCATTTTGGTCCTCTTTGAGAATGAAGGACAACAGTTCAACAAGGCTTGGTCTGAAAGCTTGCATCTCTCATATTTGTCTTTCTGCTGTTCATATGGCCTGCATTCAACCTGGGATTATTTCCACCATCAGCCTTTTTTGATCCTACTCTCGAAATGTTAAACTCCATGAGAGGAGGTCTCGCAATCAAGCTTATGGGCTCTAGCACAAATCCATGTTCTCTAATCTCAGCCAGACCGTCACTGGTGCCCTGGAGTCTTTTCATTCATTTATGATTGGTTCTCGATCTCGTTCTCCATGGAAAATGCCTGAAACCTTCTCCTAGCTAGACCTGAGGGCCATATCATTTCTACTCTCCTGCCTCCTTAGATCTCTTAGGCCACTGAGGTGGTATAATGGAGAGAAAGTTGGACTTGGAGACAGGGTGACTTGTATTCAAATGCTGACTTAGATGCTTAGTAGATGTGTAACCCTTGGCAACTCACTTAACCTCTCATCAGCCTCAGTTTTCTCATCTGTAAAATGGGGACAATAATAGCACCTACCCCTCCCAGGCTTATTGTGAGGATTAAATGATATGACAAATGTAAAGTGCTTTGCAATCCTCAAAGCGCTTGACTCTTCACTAAGATCTATCTGTTTTGTCTCCCCCATTAGCTGTATTTGTATCCCTACCACTTAACATGGTGCTTTGTGTACGGTAGGAACTTAACAAATGTTTTTCGTTCATTCATTCATACACACATATACTTCACTTGTATCACAGTACTTCCCACAGCACTTTCTCCCTCCTCCACGTTTTTCCAGGCACTTTGTCTCGATCTCTTCTTTGCCCCATCAGTCCCTACTTTGTATTATGCTTTCTGGTATACTATGCTTTCTGGATGTTCTCAGTCACATACATGCTCCTTACAGTCAGGGAGGGCTTCATTTTGTCTTTATATCTATCCAGCAGTGTCAACACACAGCAGGTGCCTAAAAAGCATTTATCCAATTGGAAGAGTTATCTGTGCACATCCTTCTCAATTTCATTGTCACTCCATCAAGACCAGTATCAATGTCCTTTTTTTTTAAAGCTTTGAATCTCCAAAGCCTACCGCAGTGTCCTACAGATAACAGGCACCTTAATAAATGATTGTTCAATTGAATTTCTTGTCATGGGTTTGTCTGGGGAGCTAGGAGGTTGGCATGCTGCCTGGGTTTGACCACATTCCCTAGGTGAGCCCCTTTGTCTCCCTTTTCTCACCTAAAAATATGAACTATATGTGAACTTCTCCAGAAGAGGCAACATATAATGATGATGATGATGATGATGATGATGAAGATGACTAACATTTACATAGCGCTTTGAGATTTGCAAAGCACTTACAGATACAATTTTATTTGATCCTCACAACAATCCTGGGAAATAGTGCTATTATGATCTTTATTTTACAGTTGAGGACAGAAGATAAGTGACTTGCCCAGGATCAACATCTAGGAAATATCTGAGGCTGGATTTGAACTCAGGTCTTCTTGACTCTTAATCAGTGCTCTATATCCACTGTGCCACCTACCTGCCTCTCTGGATGGTGGAAAGTCCACTAGGTAGGAAATTGAAGCACCAGGTTCAATTTTGTTCCATTACTTAGCCACGTAATCTTGGATGAGTCACTTCATTCTTTTATCTCTTTGCCCTTGTTTCTCCATCTATAAATGGTGGAGGGGGAGAAAAAGGTAATTTGTGTTAACTCCCTTCCTGCTATGACATTATATAGTTCCAGTAAGGCTAAATGAGATCCTTGTTATCAAGAGATTAAATATACTTGAAGGAAAGGTGGTGGGTAGAGTCAAGGGACCCAAGGCCGGAAGGACCCTCAGAGATCATCTGATCTGATTAACGCTGCAGATAAGGATCTCCTCCCACCCCCCAGTCATTCCTGATAAGTGATACTTCACCTTGGGACTGACAGTCTCCAGTGTTGGGAATGTGAAGGATTGTGAAATATTTCTGGAAAGGTTTAGTGGGCTGTGAAGGCCTTTGAATGCCAAGTTAAGAACATTGTATTTTATTCTAGAATAGAGATTCTTAATCAAGGAGCTCAGGAGGCCCATGAATAGATTTCAGGGTGTCTGTGAATTTGGATGAGAAAAATAATATCTTTATTTTCATTAACCTCTAACTGAAAATTAGTATTTCCTTCAATTATTTAAAAATACGATTCTGAGAAGGGGTCCATAGACTTCACCAGACTGGCCAAAGAAGTCAATGACACGAAAGGCTAAGAGGCCCAAAAGGGTCCTCCTCACCGCCTCCTGTGCCCCCTGATTCCTGAATGTACCAATTCTAACTATTAGGAAGTTCTTGTATCAAGCCCTTCTCTCACCAACCCCCCAACATCTCCCACCCATTGGTCTCATTTCTCTGCTATGGTGTCACCTAGAATAAGTTTGGTCCTTCCCTATGATAGTTTTTTTTAGCTCTTCAAAGATAGCTATCATGTTATTGTTTAATTGTTTTTAGTCATGCCCAATTCTTTGTGACCCCATTCAAGGTTTTCTAGACAAAGACGCTGGAGGGGTTTGCCATTTCCTTCTCCAGCTCATTTTACAGATGAAGAAACTGAAGCAAATGGGGTGAAGTGACTTACCCAGGGTCACACATTAAGTGTCTGAGGCCAGATTTGAACTCATGAAGATGAGTCTTTCTGACTCCAAGCCTGGTAGTCTATCCAGTGTGTCTCTTAGCTGTCCAACAGCTATCATATTCCTTGCTAAATCTGCTCTTCTCAAGTTTAAATATTTCTTTACCCAGTCCTTGTATGGCACAGCCTTGAGGTTCCTCATCATTCAGGTTCCCATGTTGAGGGACAGCTGTTGGTACAGTTGATAGACCATGAACTTAGAGTCAGGAAGACCTGGGTTCAAATCCAGCTGTGTAAACCTTAGCAAGTAATTTACTTTTTTCTGGACCCCAGTTTCTCATCTGTAAAAATGAGGGGATTGGACCCAATGGTGTCCAAGGCCCCCTCATCTTTCTCTAGAAAGATGATTTTCTGGACATGCCCCAGCCTGTCAGTGTCCTTGCTGAAAGGTGATGCCTTGAACTGAACACCATACTCCATATTTAGCCTATTAACTAGCTGTGTGATTTTAGGTTAGTTGTTTTACCTCTCTGGGCCTTAGATGTGTAATGAGGATGAGGATGAGGATAGCGATGGCTTGACAGTCATAGCAGGTGAACAGAGAATGAGTTGGAAGTCTGAAGACCTGAAGATGAAGATAAGAAGTAGTGAAACACAGATCCAGTGTCCAGCTCCTCTGTTGATCCTTACAGCTTCATAAAGCTGCTGTCTATAAGACTGAGAAAAGATAGAATGTCACTCAAAGGTCTCCAACTTTTCTGGGAACTAGAGCATGTTATGCTTCAATATCAGCACCAGATGGCACCCTTGTCCTAAGATGGAGGACCCATTTCTACATTTTTTTCCTGCTTAGAATATGTCTACTTTGCTGGGATACCCAGCAAAGTTCACAGAGAGAGATAAGTTGGGAAAATGATGTCGTGCTGGTGAGTAGCTTTGGCCGTGGGCCACGAGAGAGAAGCTAAACAGGCCCATGTGTACTGGCAACATGGAGCTAGCTTCCTTACATCCCCCAAAGTCAAGGCAGATAGGCCACTTAATACAATGGCAACCCTCCAAGACTCAAGTTCTGTGTTCTATAACCAGATATGATTTGTTCATGCTCTTCTTTACGCAAAGTAGATAGAGAAGTGCTAGCACATAGGTATATAATAAGTGTTTCTTGACTGACTGATGGTCCAAATTTGTTTTGCTTTGTTTTTCAGAAATCAAAAATTTCAGAGAAATTGTGATTAGGAGAGAAATTAATAGAAGTCTGGTATCCAGGATAAAGGAAGAAATCATCTCGATGTCCTCTACCCTGGTTACATCTGGAGTATTGTGATGAATTTGGGGAAATCCTTTTCTAGTCTCAATGATCACCTGAAGAATGGCCAGCAGCGGACAGCTAAGGCTTTAAATTCGTGCCACAGAAGGATCAATTCAAGGAACTGAAGGCCAGTTAGTCAATAAGCCTACAATGACATGCCTACTTTGTGCCAGGCACTATGTGAAGCCTTAGGAACACAAAAAAAGGCAAGAGACAGTCCTGCTCTTAAGACACTAACAGTCTCATGAAGAGACAAGAAAAGACGTGGTAACTGCCTTCAAGTATGGAGATCCATTACCAAGAAAAGGGCTCAGTCAGTCAGCAAGCATCAATTAAATGTTTATTATGTGCCAGGCTCTGTGCTAAGCACTTGGAATACAAAAAAAATCCACACAAAAACATTTGTCCTCCCCTTAGGTGCACATTTTCTAATTTTTTTTTTGAGGCAATCAGAGTTAAGTGACTTGCCCAGGGTCACACGTAGGTAGGTGTCTGAGGACAGATTTGAACTCCTGACTCCAGGGCTGGTGTTCTATCCACTGTGCCATCTAGCTTAGGTGAATACTTTCCTTTTTTTTTTCTTTTTGGTGAGGCAATCGGGGTTAAGTGGCATAGTGGATAGAGCACCAGCCCTAGATTCAGGAGGACCTGAGTTCAAATCTGGCTTCAGACACATAACACTTACTAGTTGTGTGACCCTGGGCAAGTCACTTAACCCCCATTGCTGCCATGCCCCCCCCCCAAAAAAAAGAGAATTGCCACAGAGGTGATTCTTGTTCACGTAGGGGTTGGAGGAGGCAGTACCTGAGGTTTCTTATGGCTGTGGACATTGACCAGACTATGTTCACCCCAACTCAGCGAGATTAAAGAGCCGTCAAAAAAGATTTCCTTCATGGTTCAAATTCCCTTTGGTTCAATACACAGTCACTAAGTGACTGCCGTACACAAGGCCTATTCCCTGGGGGGAAGAGGTTTTTTGTGGGGGGATTGCTGTTCCGTCATTTCGGTTGTGTCTGACTCTTTATGACCCCATTTGGGGTTTTCCTGGCAAAGATACGAGAGTGGTTTGCCATTTCCTTCTCCAGGTTACTTTACAGATGAGGAAACTGAGGCAAACAGGGTTAAGTGATTTGTCCAGGGTCACACAGCTAATCAGTGTCTGAGGCCAAATTAGAACTCAGGGAGATGAGCCTTCCAGACTCCAGGCCTGGCACTCTGGGCACTATGGCACCACCTAGCTGCCCCATTTGGGGGGATAGGAAGAGGGAATCAGAATCAATCAATCAAGTATTTATTAAGCTTTTACTTTAGGGTGCACTTACTTGTCTTTTCTAATACAAAGCATATTTGATCTGGAAGGGACCTCAGGCAAGGGAATGTCAGAGCCGGAAAGGACCTTAGAACGTAGAACGTAAAAATTAGGAGAGATTTTAGAACATAGAGTGTAAGAGCTGGAAAGGACTTTAGAATGTAGAATGTAAAAGCTAGGAGGGATATTAGAACATAGAATATCAGAGCTGGAAAGGACTTTAGAACATAGAATGTAAAAACTAGGAGAGACGTTAGAACATAGAATGTCAGAGCTGGAAAGGACTTTAGAACATAGAATGTAACAACTAGGAGAGACGTTAGAACATAGAATGTCAGAGCTGGAAAGGACTTTAGAACATAGAATGTAAAAACTAGGAGAGACGTTAGAACATAGAATGTCAGAGCTGGAAAGGACCTTAGAACATAGAATGTAACAACTAGGAGAGATGTTAGAACATAGAGTGTCAGAGCTGGAAAGGACTTTAGAACATAGAATGTAAAAGCTAGGAGAGATATTAGAACACAATATCAGAGCTGGAAAGGACTTTAGAACATAGAATGTAAAAACTAGGAGAGACGTTAGAACATAGAATGTCAGAGCCTGAAAGGACCTTAGAACGTAGAATGTAAAAACTAAGAGAGACGTTAGAACATAGAGTGTCAGAGCTGGAAAGGACTTTAGAACATAGAATGTAAAAACTAGGAGAGATTTTAGAACGTAGAATGTCAGAGCTGGAAAGGACTTCAGAACATAGAATGTAAAAACTAGGAGAGACGTTAGAACGTAGAATGTCAGAGCTGGAAAGGACTTTAGAACATAGAATGTAAAAACTAGGAGAGACGTTAGAACATAGAATGTCAGAGCTGGAAAGGACTTTAGAACATAGAATGTAAAAACTAGGAGAGATGTTAGAACATAGAGTGTCAGAGCTGGAAAGGACTTTAGAACATAGAATGTAAAAACTAGGAGAGATTTTAGAACATAGAATGTGAGAGCTGGAAAGGACCTTAGAACATAGAGTGTAAAAACTAGAAGACATTTTAGAACATAGAATATCAGAGCTGGGAAGTACCTTGGAACATTAGATAGATAGATAGATAGATAGATAGATAGATAGATAGATAGATAAATGATAGATAAGATAGATACATAGGGCATCACATACATATGGACAGAGAATCAATAGATGACATATTGATTAGATAAATAGATGATGGATGCATATAGATACATAAATAGATAAAATCAATATAGTGAGAGGATAGATAGATAGACAGATAGCTAATTTATTAAGAACTCAGAATGTATCAAGGGCTGTGTTAAATACTGGAGATACAAATACAAGTTGAGCATTACAGTCCCTGCTCTCAAGGAGCTTATATTCTAGTGAGGAAGAAAGAACGGAAGGAGGAACTGGAAAGTAGGGTGTGGGGGAACTCATTGTCAGAGCTGGGAGGAACCTTAGAATATAGACTGCTGGAGTTGCGGGGGAGGGTCTCATTAATCATCTGGTCAAGGGGTTTTTAACCTGGAGTCTGTGAACTTGTTTGTTTTTTTTTAAAGGATAACTGCATTTCACCTTATTTGGTTTCCTTTGGAATCATATTCTCATATTTCATGAATTTCAGAACTCAGTCATTCTGACAACTCATCTTTTCCTAGAGGTTTCTGTTCTTTGTCAGACTGCCAGAAAGGCTCCATACTACAGAAATGGTTAAGAATCTTTGATTTAGCCTACCACCTTGTTTTATAAATGGGGAAGGAGGCCCAGGGAGAGCTTCATGAAGGAAGGAAGGGAGACTTGAGTTGTGCCTTTAAAGGATTTCAACTTCATTGAATTATGGATCTCAGAGCTCAAATGTATTTCACCTGATTCAGACCCTACTTCCAGGTATGTTGTTGTTCAGTTGTTTTAGTCATGTTTAACTCTTTGTGACCCCATTCAGTATTTTTCTGGCAAAGATACTAGAGTAATTTGCCATTTCCTTCTCCAGCTCATTTTACAGATGAGGAAACTGAGGCAAACATGGTAAAGTGACTTGCTCAAGGTCACACAGCTAGTAAGTGTCTGAGGCTGTATTTGAACTCAGGAAGATGAGTCTTCCTGACTCCAGGCCTGGTGCTCTATCCACTGCACCATCTAGCTGTATGTAGTATTCTCTTTTCCCGATGAATTCACCAAGGCACACAAAGGTAAAGTTATTGTTCTCAAGGTCATTCAGCTAGTAACTTTTTGGACCTCAAGAATGGGTGGGCTTTGGAAGTGCCTTATGGAAGAGGAAGAGATTTAGAGATGGGAGATGGGGGATGGTACTAGAGGCTGTATTCAATGGCTCTCCTCTCTTCCCCCATAAAAAGAAGGTACTGGGTCTTTAAGGGATTAAGACAACCCAACACAGAGCTGAATTGGTGTTCAATCCATCCCTACCCACAGCTGCCCGCCCTTTCTTCCTCTTCTCCTCCCTTCTCCCCCAGAGAAATGGGTTTGCACTGCAGCCCTCCCCTTCTTCAGAAGTCTCTAAACCTTAGGGCAGTTCCAAAGCCACAGTGAAGAGCTCCATCTGCCCCCTTCAGTGTGGCTGGACCCCACGGATGTCGGTTTCCAGCTGGCCCCACTGTGCCTGCAAACCAACCCACTCAGCCTAGAGCTTCTCAGGGGAAATGAAGACCTCCCCTAACCCTACTGAAGGGAAGTGGCCCACTCCATTCAGGCACAGCTAGGCAGAGGAGCTCTCCAGCTGGGAAAATCATGAGGTAATAGGATTACTGAATTTAGAGTTGGGATGGGACAAGAGAGATGGTCTAGTCTAACCTCCCTCACTGTATAGGAAAGGAAACTGAAGGCCAGAGATGGAAGTGATTTGCCCAAGGTCACACACACACACACACACACACAATAGCAGAACCAACATTCAAACTCAGTCCCTCTAACTCCAAATTCACCCACCACAGCAGGCTGCCTCTCTCCACAGTCTAATCTGTCCTACTCATAGGTGCCAGATTACTCTTCCCAAAGAGCACCTCACACCAACATGTCTTCAATGTCTCCCCACTGCCAGCAGGACTGACTCTAATCTACTTGGCCTCACACTCAAGGCTCTCTGCCATCTGTTTTCTAAACTCTCTTCCTAACCTATTCTCCTTATGTTTCATTCCCTGAATCTTCTGTGAAATATCTTACATTGAGGGGCCCAATCCCTTTTCTCATACCATTTTCTCTACCTTGAATGACTTGTCCATTCATTTTGGATTGGTAAAATCCTTTCTGTTCTTCAGTGACCTCCTTAAATATCTTAATGAAGGTTTTCCTTATCCTCTTAACCTAGGTATGGTATGTCCTTACTCAGGAAGGTCATGGAAATCTGTACCTCTCTGATGGAGCTGATCTCATCTTACCTGGCTGCATAGTTATGGGGGTAATTGGCTTATGTTTCCTTAACTCTATCTGGGAAGGGGCTATCTTACTTTTCTCTATATCTCCCATAGTGCCTAGTATGCCTAGAGGCTCCATAAATTTTTCTTTTTTTTTTCTTTTTTTTTTGGCGAGGCAGTGGGGTTAAGTGACTTGCCCAGGGTCACACAGTTAGTAAATGTCAAGTGTCAGATTTGAACTCAGGTCTTCCTGAATCCAGGACCAGTGCTCTATCCACTGTGCCATCTAGCTGATCTGAGGCTCCATAAATGTGGAGTGAATGAATGAATTGAATGAATGAATGAGATGCAGTGGGAACAGCATAGTCAGAGGGGCTCCACCAACCAAGTCCTACTCTTCAATCCAGCTCTCACCTTTTAAAACCAGCTGCTTCAATTTCCCCTTGTTCTGGCAGCCGCTTCCTTGCTATAAACCTTCTCCCAGATTGCACCAGCTCTGAAATACCCATTCCCATGCCGATGTTGTCCTACATTACCTCTCCCTCCATTCAGACAGAGCCCAACTGTCTCCTTGGCAGCTTAAAGAGTACGCGGTTGCTGTCTGACCCCATCCAAGGTTACTTCTTTTCTCTGACCTCAGTTTCCTTATCTGTAAGACTGAGAAGTTAGACTAAATGATCTCTTAAGTCCTTACAGCCCTAGACCTCTGATTTCATGATCCCTAATCCTCTCTCTCCCACATTCCAGCTTTCTCATCAGTGAAGTGTGGCTTCCTCCAGCCCTGACATTCCATGATGAGATGTAAG